TCTTACAATGGCGTCTAGGTAGCATATTGTTAAAAATATGCGAATCTTTGACTCAACAGTTAAAGAAACTCAGCGATATTATATAGGAATGTTATACAAAATTTGCATAATTGAATAATCATTATAGAACAAATTTATTTTATTGTCAGCGTACAGCACTCTGATTGATCAATAATGAATACAACTAAAATTATTCAAATATTAGCTTCTTTGTTTTAAATTTTTTCTTTATTAATTGTTATACAATATGATTTTAATTTTTAAGATTGTAAGAGACAAAACAACAGCTAGTAACATCAATTTTAAACCATAGTGATCAAATTCAGGATAAGAAGAACTCGAACAAAAGCTAGTTACCAAAAATCATTATAGCAAAATTTTCAATTCATGCATTTTAAAAATAATTAAAAACACGAACAAAAACAAATTACCCCAAATGTATTAGTGGAATTTTGATGTCGAATTCGTGTATTTTAAAAACTGATACATGCCTATTTATTGATGCAAGTAATTGTGCATTTAAATGAATCTTCCCTTTTTAACAATAAACAAAAGCGCTGATCGTTTACCAACCTTATCGATTTATACTTATTGGTCAAATTCAGTTATTATCTCATCATTTTATTAGGTAATTTGCTTGTTGCCCCTGATAATCTAATCGTCAATTGTTATAATTATAATCGGTTTAAACAAACAAAAGCACAGATCAATTACCAACCTTGTTAATCGAACTAAAATTATTGGCCAAATTCAGTTATTGTCTTCTTCATTACTTTATTTGGTAATCCGTTTATTGTCCTCTGATAACTTAATCGCTAACCATTATGATCAATTTAAATGCTATTTGAAAAATAATTAAATTGTCTAATTAGTTAAAATATTCGCATCACTATACAGCAATTTAAAAAAAGTAACAATTATGCAAATCGTAAATTATAATTGTTGTATCTTGTCACTATACACAAATGGCAATTGCGTAATTCTAACTTTTACTACAAATTTGGCTTTGTTAAAAACTATATATGAGCAGCCAGTGTTTTTTTTTAAAAAAAAAATTGCGAAATCGTAAAATAGATTATTTTTCTTGCTACCTATATAAAAACAATTTTTTTTAGAATCACGAAATCGTAAAATTGATCCTATTTTTTGTTATTTAACATGCCAAAAATATCAAAACAAAAGTACCATATGACGCATATGCACTCTCAACAGGATAATCTTCAACAAATTTATAAACTCATACTTCAATTTGGTCCTGAATTTCTTCCACAAATCCACCAAATTCTTATTAATATTGCAAATCATACAAAAGAGGAGGAGATATTTCATAATATTTGTAAAATGCCTGAATCACAAAAAAAGAACACGTTAAAGTTATTTGAATTAATGCGAAATCTAAAAGGAAAACATGAAAATAAAATCATTTCAATTTATCTTCAAAAGAAAGCTCTTGAATATATCACAAATAATCGTAAAAATAAAAATGAAATCAAATCTTTAAAAGCCAAGAACACACAACTAAAATCTGATAAATGAAAACTATCAAAAAGTAATCAAAATTTATTATGTAAGGTTCAATCTACAAGCACTTCAAATCGGCATCACAAAAATAGGATAAATAAGCGAATTTCAACTATCAGGTCATTAATATGCAAATAAAAACAAATACCTAATAAAGAATTCAAATGCCAAATTAAAGAATTGTTTAAAACAGATAACAGTAAATATTCGTCCAAAATAGTTTGGCTTTCAACCAAAATCTCACAAATCGGACAAACCTCATTAACGGCTACTGTAGAATCATTGCGTCTTGTTTACAAATTTTTAATTGAGGAGCCTCCACAAAAATGGTTATCAGTATCTACACTAAGTATCTGGCATCAAGAAGTTGCCCAAATCAAAACTGAATTCATGATTAATCAAATTGCCCAGTATTCACATTTTGAAATTCTTGTCGATAAATCTACCCATGGTGATGTCAAAAATTTCATTATATATATTATGTTCGGGAACCATAAGGATAATATGCTATCAGCAGTGTTGTACATTTTGACTGTTCCAAGCTTTTTTTGCTGTGTCCCAACGTCCCAACGTCCCAATGTCCCAAAGTGTCCCAACTGTCCCTAGATCTTAATAATTACTAAATTAATTTAAAAACTATATAATTATATATTTTTTTAAGTGCTGAGCATGTTTTTAAAAAAATTAAAGTAGATTGTCTTATTAAAATTTTGAGTAAATTTAATTTAAAAAATTGTCCCAAAATGTCCCAAAATGTCCCAACTCATGTCCCAACTGTCTCATGTACAACACTGGCTATCAGTAGCTGTAACAAACCTAAACAATTTACACAAATGTACTGGCCAATCTAAACCATGGGCTTGATCTAAAAAAATATTTAACTTGGGTAACCGATAACATGGCATATATGTTTGGTAATTATAAGGGTGCATTAGTTCAGTTTAACAAAAAAGCAAATATAAATACAACACGGATAGGTTGTAGAATACATATTATGCATATTGTTTTTACACATTTTGAAGAAACGGCCTTTGGAAAATTACTTTCATCAATTAGGTTTTCAAGAAATCCGCAACTATTTAATTTATTATACCTAGCATGGTTTTTACATGATGGGTATAATTCAAGCAACAAAGGCAAGCCTCTTAATATAAGGTCGGAGTATATTCAAAAACTATATGATGAGTTGTTAGGATTCCACTTTTCACAATATCAACTACTAATTAAAGGATGGTGGGGCTATGAACTACGTATTGCGAAACAATATTTAGATCGGCGTGCAGCACATTTAATATTCGTAGACTGGTTTATTAAAATGCTTGAAAATAATTGCAACACACCAGCATCATATCTTTCAGATTGGCGATTGTTTAGAGAGTGGCTTCTAAATAACAAATTAAATATTCAAGTTCAATGTTTAGTCACATTTGGTAAAATCTTTTATGAGCCATTAATGCAATTCATGGTCAGGAAGGATCCAATACCTCGTATCAAACTAGATGATCAGCTAGTCCAACTTCTAGCTGGTCGATGTGCATACGAAATGTTGCGGCTGAAGCTGGAAACGGCTGAAGCTGGAAATTTTAAATATTTTAATATGAAATTTTCAAATTTTTTTGGGATGCATTTTTTTAGCTTTTTTTTCATGGTTAGATTAGGATTTAGGGTTAGTTTTGATAATGAAAGAGTATAAGTAGATTTTGGCAGGGTTTATATTTTTAAATCAGGGTCCCTGATTTCCTGCTTCAGCCGTTTTCAGCATCAGCCGCAACACGAAATACCCGACAAGACTAATGAATAGATTAGTTTTCTATATGATATTAAAGAAAACTTTGATACATTTTTTGGAGATGAATTGCTTATAGCACTAGAAATCCTAAATGAAGTTGATTTTAGTAATCTTTTTAATAACTTAGAAAAGGTGATAAATAAAGCGTATGATCATTTTTTAAAATGAATATCTTCATGGATATATTTGCCATTATCAATCTGCTGTCTGGGTAGAGATTCTGGTTGTGAGTTTGCGCGAGCATTCTACTACGTTGTCTTGCAATCGCCATGGCCTTCTGAACTAACAGAATGTGAAATAGAATTAGTACAGCAACTATGTAAAGATTTTAAGATATCTAATAGTATTTTCGGCCTTCAAGAAGAATTGTTAGGCTGCTTAGAATTTAGAAACGAATTTCAGAATTTCAGTTTTATTCCAGACTCTAAAATTTATAAATATCCATTATCATATAAATTTGTCAAAGAGCAAATCTACTTTATTATAGTACACCAACAACAAGTAGAAGGGCTTTTTAACAAATTAGACTTGAAAACTCATCCAAATATGACTGCAGACTTAAAACAATCCAAATTATGGCTCTTGTCTGGAGATATTAATGAAAACAACATTACCTTGAGACTCTCAGATGTTCGTATAAAACGTAAAAAGCAATCACAAGAAATTATACAAGAAAGTATAAAAACTCACGGAGAAGAAGAAGCAACTAAAATGTTATTAGATTTATTTCAAATTTAGTATTGGAATTTTTGTCATACTGAAAAAAAACTTGTATTATAAAATAAAGATCATGCAAATCGGTGATCATCATTTAAAAAAAAAAATTTCACTAGTTAAATCTACTATAAGACTATGATTTACATAGTACATCGAATACCCCAACGCAACATACATTTTTTTATTTTCGCTACCATACACAACTACTTTTGTTTTTCCGACTATACTCCTTTAGGTAATACCGCATCTTATATATTAAATGATGCACGTGCAATGCGAGTCGAGTCCCGACTCCAATGAGTCGAGTCGGACTTTTAACATCCCTACTGGCACGAGGTATTTGCAGATTCCTACTACGTAAGTAAAAATGTTTAGTGTTTTAGAAAATCCTAACCTTAAAGTTTAATTTTGGTTTTAAAGTTTGTAATAAAATATATAAACATATATATATTAGAGTTGGATCCGGATAAAATGAATATTCAATTAGCAGCGAATATTCTGTTACACAAAATCCGTGAATAGTCAAGAATCATATTATGAATATCTGTATCGGTAAATGGGCCAGTATGAATTCTGTTATTGAACAGCGAAAAAAATTCTACGTTGATGAATAACGTCTATAGTAGTTCTATAGTCATTACGCATACAAAATTAATTCGTCTATTTTACTTTGATTCGTTTGGAAAATATTTTATTCGATACATAAAATAGCAGGCAGATAGATTTATTTTATATACATATCTATACATATCTTTATGATATAATAATTTAACGATAGAAGATATAATACAGAAAAAAAAACAATGATAAAATAGTGTGCTAGTTTCATTTATTTCTATCTCAGGACATGATGTTGGTGGTGATTCGTTCTGAGTTTGTGTCTGTTGTTCCTCAGTTTCTTCAGTTTGCTGTATTTCAGTTGAGAGCGGTTGTATTTCGGTTGGTGGAGCTTCGCTGGCGGTTGCATTTCTGTTTAAATTTCAGTAGGGCAAGTTGTTGATGATGGCGCTTCGTTCGGTGTTTGTGTTGAATATGCTTCTGTTTGAATTTCAGGAGGGCAAGTTGTTGATGGTAACGCTTCGCTCGGAGTTTGTATAGGTTGTACTTTGGTTTGAATTTCGGTAGGGCGAGTTGTTGGTGGCGCTTTACTTGTTGGGATTAATGAAGGTTGTGTTTCGATTGGTATTTCGGGTGAAGTTTCAGTAAGTTGTTGATGGTGGAGTTTCGCTCGGACCTGATGTTGGTCGTACTTTAGAGTTGTATCGAGTGCTTCAGTAGGTTTAACATTGTTAGTTTTTCTCATCTTCTTCTTCTTGAGGTTGCTCTTCTTTTTCAGCATTCTGAGACTGCTTATATTCTTTTTTTTCATATGTTGTTCAGTTTCCTGAAGTTGCGTAGCTTCTTCAATTCTTCTGGAAGTTGCTTAGCTTCTTCCAATTCTTTTGTGGGTTCACTTGGTTCCGGAGGTCAATCACTTTCTTCACATAGTTCCGAATGTTGTTCACTTTCTTCCTCACATGGTTCTAAATGTTGCTCATCTTCTTCGCACGGCTTTATCTGTTGTCCGCTTTTTTCACATGGTTCCGGAGGTCGTTCGATTTCTTCACATAGTTCTGGATGTTCACTTTCTTCCTCACATAGTTCCGGATGTTGTTCATCTTCCTCACACGGTTTTAGTTGATCGCTTTCTTCTTCACATGGTTCCGGAGGTCGTTCGATTTCTTCACATAGTTCTGGAGGTTGTTCACTTTCTTCTTCACATAGTTCCGGATGCTGTTCATCTTCCTCATACGGTTTTATCTGTTGATCGCTTTCTTCGCATGGTTCCGGAAGTTGCACGACATCCTCACATATTTCCTGAGATTGTTCAGTTTTTACACATTTTTCTGATTGGGGTTGGTCATCCACGATAATGATAACAGGTTTTGTAACCACTGATTGCTCATCGTCAGTATAAGTGATTTTGGGTGGTGATTCTTGTGGGGGTGGTGATGGTTGTGGGGATGGTGTTGATGGTTGTGGGGGTGATGGGTGTGGAGGTGGTGGTTGTATCTCTGGTTGACATAATGGACAAACAGGTGTTTCAAATCCCATACAACTACCGAATTGTTGAAAATGTGAAAATGGGCACATTTGACATTCTCCATCGTAGAAGAAATCAGGATGGCATAAAGTTCTTTCAATTAATGAACGTTCTTGAAAAATCGAGCGAAACGTTGAGTGCGGGGCTGCAAGAATTCGAGTAATTACTGTGGATAAAATTAATAGAAATGTATGAGAAAGTTGAAAATAATAAGATTTGTGTGTCATTTTTTTTGTCAAAGTCGAACGAAAGAGTTTAAAGTGTATTATGTCATTTAGTACGAATGGCTTGAATGTATGTGCACAACATTGCAACTTTATACTGTTTTTTTCAAAAATGAATTTGTAAAAAACAATTTAATAGATATTACTTTTGTTTATCATTTTTTAAAGAATTTCTTCACATATTATTGATATAAAGGCAATTTTATCTCTCACTTTGCGAATAATAAATAATTTTAACTGATTGATTTGGTATAAATTGAAATTTCATGTCCAATCATCAATTTATCCGTTTTAATAACAGCTTCATGTGATTAATATCTTTGTTATCAACATCCAACCGAGTCAAATTGCCGCGTGCACTTATTTGCAAATAACAAATGTTTTATCTCTCGAATCATCCCAGCAAAAAGACAAGTACAAAACGATAATGTCTAATTTGTTTATATGATTTCGAACAGCGGGGTGTAGATCAAAATTTCCGGAATTATATTATATATAAATAATCTAATTATATAGCGTTAGTATTGGATAGGTCTATTTGAGTTCAGCATTGTATGTAAAGTCGTATTCTAGACATTTGTTATCCGAAACATCTGCATCATTTTCAAATTTTGAGATCAGGTGTAGTACAGTACGAGACAGTAAAAGACATCTATGCCAAATTTTGATGCTTATATAATCAATTCTGATTGGCTAATTTTTGTGTAATTGATTCTGATTGGTTAAAAATATATATATTTTTTCTTTTTTTCTATATTAAACGCCAATTTTTTGAACTCATACAGTACGGGACAGTAAAAGACATTCTATACATAGAGGCGCCAATTTTTGATGCTTATATAATCAATTCTGATTGTTAATTTTTGTGTAATTGATTCTGATTGGTTAAAAATATCTATATGTTTTCTTTTTTTCTATATTAAATGCCAATTTTTTGAACTTATATAAACTTTAATCCTTTATAACTTTTTCAAAACAAATAATAAAAAAAATCCTTTAACAGAAATGTAGTTTATCTAAAAATCTATTAATTTGTTGTTTTAAAAAAGTTATACTACTTTAAAGTTTTTACTAATAAATATTGGATGTGTTTTACTGTCTGGTACTAAATAAACTTTAATTCTTTATAACAATGAAAAAAAATACTCTAACAGAAATGTAGTTATTTAAAAAGCTATCAATTTGTTAGAGGGTTTTTTTAATTTAGCTTGTTTTAAAAAAGTTATAACACTTTAAAGTTTTTATTAATAAATATTGGATGTGTTTTACTGTCCAGTACTGTATAAAAAAATTATTTTAATTATAATATTAGTTTGTATAGTCAGACCTCTTTAAATGTATTATGACAGGACTTTATATAAAAATTTAGTTAACTGTATATTTAGAAACATTATGTAAACAATATTTATCATAAAACTCTTTCTGCTGATCATTAAAACACAAATTTTCCGAAATACAAAATTATTAAAAACTACAAAAGACACAAAAAGCTATTAGGAAACAAATCTCAGAGCTCTAAGAAAAGAAGAAGAGGACTACAAGAAACACTCAGTCTCTTAGAAGACTTGAGTAAAAGGAATGGAAGTAGCAAAAAAATAAAAGAAATCGTAAAAAATTGTCGATATTTTTTGCACTTTGCGAATCTTGTTTCATATTTTTGTTTCTGTAAGATCTAAAATGTCTTGTCTTTTGCTTCTTTTTTTTTTTTCTTCTCTGATTTTTCTTTTCATCTAAATGCCATAGATTCAACAGATATTTTAAACTGTAATATTAGAGTTTTTAGTACTTTTTGGTTTTGCTGCCTTTGTCGAGTTTTTC